TAGTCCAATAAATCTTCTTTTTTAATAAATAAATTTTTAAGAACTCAACTTTTAATTAATTAATATTAAAAAATAATTTTTTTAAAATACTAATTTTCACATTTACCAATATTTAGAAAAATTAATTCTTTATTGAATATTGACTCTTTTTTAAAAAAGAAACCACCTTCTATATGCTAACTCTAAAATCCTGAACGCAATTTATAAAAAAAGGCATTCCCTTCTTATTAATGGACCCAACATTTTCGATTAGAAAGTGACAAATGATTTGAAAACAATATACCATTCTTCAAATTTGTCCTTGCACCAAACAGTGATCCATACCCCTTTTTGTAACCATCTGTGCATATATTGACAATTTTATTTTCACGAGCAAATTGACCCTTACTCTGGTAAATCTTGAAGTTGTTTTGTAAATTGGTACGTTAAGGATTTTGGGTATTACTTCGTTTTCGTTTGTGTCTCTCAGGCAGTCCTATAAACAGTTCAGTCTCCACTTCCAACTCCAACTCCATGTTATCTATTTGCTTGGGTTGTTGCATGCAACACTGTAAATTAAAACAAAAAAATTGATTGGAGTTAATAATAATTACTTTGCTTCTAAAAGGGAAATTATCAATTACTCCAAACAAAATAAATTATAAAATACCTTCTCTCGCAGTTTTGCATTATCTTCCACCAGGAGTCTCTCCTGAACCACATATGGGAAAAAAAAAAAGATGTCATAAAAATAAATAAAAATTAAAAAAAATACTACATAGTCCAAACTGTATCAAACTATATAAATATAACCATTGGATGGAAGGAGATTTCTTTTCCCATCCAATAACACTTCTATTTTACATTCCATTACAATTTAAACAGTAAAACAGGGGATTCAAATATTTAATAATATTGATATCAAATGAAATGCTGATGATAAAGACACACAATCACCTCTTCCTTTAGCTTCTCAATCTGCTCCAACTGCAACTGAGTCTGAGAACAGCAACTTAAAATGTAATTAACTTGTACTCTCTTAATTAATTATTAATTAAGGCACTTAATTATGGTAATTAACACTCCTTACCTTTCTTTCTCTAATTCTGGTCAAGCTTCGGTCTAGCTGGTTTTCCAAGTGTTGCAACTCATCAAAAGAACATGACCCTAATCCATCTCCTAAGAGTTTTCGTCTAGAATCTTCAAGAAACTCAATCTTCTTCGCCAAGTCGTCAACATCCTCCACTGCATTCTGCATGCAATGATCAAAAAACATAACATATATATATTTACAAGCTTCAAATTAATGCGTATACTTATTTCAAATGTTCATGGCGGATATTTTGTTTAGAATGACATAATTAAGATTAGTACACCCAAACTTCATGGTGATAAAGAAGATTAGAAATCTAATTAATTAATCGTTCAAACTACTAACACAATACTGCAAAAAGTTGACTGGCTAGCTAACTTACCTGCATATTTTCACGCACCCCTTTGGCCTTTCCGATGTCCTCTCTCTTTTGATAACGTTCAATAGTCTTGTTCATACTGAAGCATACCAGAAAACATAAAAAATATCCATGAAGACGCTTGAATTTAAATTGGCTGCCAATTCGAAATCCATTGTTTGTCCAGAGAAAATCACATTATAATGAATGTAAATTAACCACAGCATTTGACAAAAACAGTTGATTTGGAGAATATTTGGAAGACAGTATCAAGAGTCATATGTATTACACAAACTTCAATGAAACATATTAGGACAACATATTTAGATCTTGTTATGCACAACTAGCTGTTCCTTCCCAACTTCTAAAACTTTCTTCTCTTGTTTAGAAAAATTCCTTTTGGAGTTTGGACTTTGGATCACCATAACTCTCTGGAATGGCAAGAGAAACTTTGACTATATTTGACTCTTCCGACATGGGTCGATTGTGGGATCAATCTAAGCCAAAAGACTTTATAAGTACTGGAAGAAAAGTAGACCTAATCCTTCTGGTTCTTTCATTAACAAATCTTGAACAACAACCTAAGCAACTTGTTTGTATGCTAGCTGGTACGACTAATTCAAGCTAGATAAGGCAGTAAACATGCAGATAACTAGTATATATGATCATTAATTAGTTCAACCAGATCAAAGAATAATATTTAATTTGCTAATCAATTAAAAAAAAAATCAAAGAATAATATTGTATGTGTATAATATGTAGACTTATAGGGGATGAAAACTCATCTACTAACATAGTTAGCCAAAACAGCATGTTCAAAACCAAAGCATGAATGTCCTGGCACTCAGGATGTCCATCATAATCATCCGTTGACTGCGTCTCAAAGGTAGGGTCTACTCAATGATGACTGTGATGAATATCCTGAATGTCAGGACATCCTGATTTTCATATTTCTGTATATTTATTCTTTTTTCATAAGCTATAATTAAGTAGTACTTCAGACTTCAAAAGCCGATAAGAAAAAGGTGGTAGAGATGAACAAATTAGACACTCATTTTGTTATGTTTAATTAATGCTGCAATTTGTGCAAATTGCCTTTCAGAAAAAAAAAAGAGCTTATTTTGATTGATATTAATATGCACGCATGAAAACCAAAAATAATATGAAACCTCTTGAAATAAGGCTATAAAAAAAGGGATGAATTTCAAATCAAACCAAATATAAAGATAAGGGAGCTGCCGGTAAAAAACAAAAAAAAAAAAAAAAACTTCATCATACATATTGATGAAACTACTGTGTGTATTTACAATTTCACATTAATGAATTTGCTTTGTGTATTTTTAAAGCTTTTCTAACTTGTACCCCTAAGATGTATTAATTGTAGCTTTTTTTTTATTAATTGTTATGGAAAAATAAAAGTAGACTTTAATTTTATCAACTACCTAATTAAAATTGTGCACAGCATTAATGTCAAAAACGAAGTTTTTAATTTTCAAAGTTGAAAATTAACTTTTTGTTTTTCTATACAAATTAATAAAGAAAAAGTTCAATCAGACATATAAGTGTTTTTCTAACCTATGCTAAGAATGTATTAATCATACTCTTTTCCACATAATTTATATAGAAAAAATAAAATAAAAGTTGATTTCAAATTTATCAACTACTTAATTAAAATCATTCATGTGACACTAATGTTAAAAATAATGTCTACTTTTACATTTTCTTATAAAAGCTTATTGCAAAAGGTTCAATTAATGCACTCTTAACTTTTGCTCTAAGAGCACAAGTTAGAAAAATCCAACATATAAACATATAAAGTCAAAGAAACCCTATTTATTTTTAAAGGTATTTTTAATTTTTGCCCAGATTAAAAGTGCATTTATTGCATATTGTTAGCATTAATTTGTATAGAAAATTATGAAAGAAAATTTTATTTTTAACACTAATGTCATGTGGAAAAATTTAATTAGACAATTAATAAAATTAAAATTAACTTTTATTTATTCCATACAAATTAATGATAAAAAGGTACAATAAATGTACAGATTAGAAAATTCCTATTTTTATACATATGAAGTAAGAGAAACAATTTTGGGAAAATGATAGAAACTCTTCAGGCATGGTGTAGTTGCAGCTTATGAAATTACAAGAATGCCAAAGAGTTTCGAGGATCATTAAGCATGAGGCCAAAATGTAAGTTCTAGGAATGACATAATTGACAAGGCATATATTAATGAATCAATTAAGAAGACATATATGGTCAGAATTAACACAACTAATTAACACAAAATATGGAATTAATTTAGTTTTGTTTTTATAGGACAGGACAAGTGGTTCTACCTGTGGGGAACAAGGGTAGGGAGCGGAGTTACACAGGTTCAAACACTCACCAACTGGTGAAAAAAAACCTTTTTCATTTAGAGAATTGGCCAGTGGGCCTGAATATGGAATTAATTTAGTTAAATCACCTAAATCAATCTGTTTTTACTCAATTTTTCTCACAAGGTCTTGATAAATAATTAGTACCAGTTCAAATACCATTAAACTCTATAAACACTACCATTATTATAAATATTTCTTTCATAGACTCTTTTTGGCTCAAAACAGAAATTGAATTTTGTTTTCCATATTAAACTAATAACAGTTAACCATCCAACACAAAATCAGACAAATGGATAAAGATGCTTAACTCTAATATAAGAACACAGAAACACAAAACTTAACAGTGATTTTACAATTAAAGTTATCAACAGCATATGATAAGATATTTTCACTTGATATAAAGCAGGTGACAAGAAGGAAAACCACAAGGTTAGATTTGAATCTTAGAGGGTAAAAATCAAAGCACTCAGGAGAGATCAGACTATTTTTACGAAAAAAAAAAATAGCCAGCGATCGAGAAAGATCATATAATCATCTCATAGTACTACCTACGTTAGGTCGGTCTAGCTGCACTAAATATCATCAAAATTCAAACTTTAGTTACAGATGTTAAACTATACATCATAATAAATTAATTCCTCAAAATCAATCTTAGATATCATATATGCTCGTGATTTAAAAATTAAATGATATTAGTTTCAATTAAAAATGTATATTTATTGTTGCGTTATGAAATAATATGAAGAGACTATGTAGGAGGGGTGAAGAAACTCACCAAGAGCTAGAGAACTCAAACAACTTTCCCCTTGGAGAGAAAACCATGAGTGCAACTTCGGCATCGCAGAGAACCGATAACTCGAATGCTTTTTTGAGCAGTCCATTTCTGCGCTTTGAGAAGGTTACTTGCCTGCTCGTAGCATTCTCTATTCTCTTCATCTGCGTTTTGCCCCTCACCATTTTTCTCCCACACCACCTCCTACACAACACCAAAAACAAGAAAATCCAAGAGTGATTTCTTATGAAATTCTGTACCCAAAATAAGAAACCCAGAAAGATTTCCAAAAATGGAAAGGAAATAACCGAAGATCTAATACAATTTTGTTATAAAACCTGCAAAAGACTCTTCCTTTCTTGGTATATAAGTGAAAGCAAATAAAAACAACAACCACTTCTAAATCAGAGAAACCCTAGATTTTACAGAGGAGAGAATTGAGGAATTATTGTCCAATTGTCCAATTAATTCCAGTTTTTCTTCTCCCCCATCTGGCTCTCAATAAGTAAACACCTATGAGGCTATAACCCTAGACTAGACTCATAGATATTTTTTAAAAAAATTAAAAAAAAAAAAAAAAAAAGGCAAAAGGTTAACGACGAACTAGTGAAGAAGAACCTGATCTTTTTCTTTATTTGGCAAATTAAGGAAAAAATCGATTGCCTTCTAAGAAAAGAAGAATTGGAGAACAAATGCCAAAGAGAGGATGTACGTGGGGATTCTTCATTGAAGAAGCAAAGCAAGGAGGAAAAATGGTAGTGATTGAGACTTCAGAAGTGGACACCTGGCGGTTTTGACCGACAACCTCCACGGCCGGTATCCAGTGGGAGGAGCATGATATAAAATGTGAGGTGAAAGACAACGAGCATTCCTGTCTGTTGCCAGTTTCTCACGGACAGCTTCCTCCTTTTGACTTTTGGACAGAAGGGAAGAGGGGGCAAATGGCAAGGAGCAGACCTTCGTCTGCTTGAATGAAAGATACCAAATCCAGGAACTCAAATCACCTGGACACGATGAATGAGAATAAAAGCGGGACGCCAGGGGATGGGTTCCTTCTGATCTTTGAAAGAACATAACAAAGCCATTGATTGCGGGCATATGTCCGTACAATGGGATGTGGCGGTTTAGAAACAGGTCCATCCATGCCGTCCGTACGGTTTTGGTCAGGGTTAATTAACACCAATGGGAGGTAGATCAGAACGTGGGGTTTTCATTGGTTGAGATGCGTCACGTGGATGCTCTGCTCGCAATTGTTTGGTGCGTTCCCCTATTGGCTACTGCCTACTGGGCTCCTGCTCTTCCATGCTTTCCTCGTTTTCCTTTTTTATTTTTTGCTTTATTAATTTCGTTGTGCACACTACATGTGTCATGTGGTGGTAGCGCACTAGCTGTTTTGCATATTTATTTAAGTTGAGATTAAACCAATGGTTGTACTTGCTTTGTTGGGGGGAGTAGGTAAAATTTGCCATTTTCAATCTTATTCGGCCATTGATCATCCAACTCTTATAATAAAAACGAAATTTTTATCCTAACCAGCTTGGAAGTTTAGTGCCATTTTTTTATTGGATTTAGTTGTTACAATTTAATTTTTTTGATAAAATTTAATTAGATAATTTTAATCCAAAAAATGTGGAGAAATTTCCTTTACCTACAGTTTTAGCTTAGAACTCAACTTTTTTTTTTTTTTTGAGAACTAAGTTCTTTTTTTTTTAATGACAGTATCTTTTAGCTCTCAAACAGAGACTTACGGATTGGCATCAACGAAAAAATATTATCTCTAGAGATTTTTTTTTTTTGTAAGGTTTCTCTTCACCCTAACTCTTATAATAATGAGGAAATTTTTATCCTAACTTGGTTGGAAGTTTAATACTACTTTTAATTAAATTTAGTTATTTTAATTTGATTTTTATATAAATTTTAATTAGATTATTTTATATAATAAATAAATAATAATTAAAAAATTTTCTTTTGAGAAAGGCCTTAAGAGCTACTAATCAAATCTTTAAATACTTCCTTATTCATAGACAAGAGTTCAAATTTATATAACTTTTTTTTCTACCCCTTTCCTTTACATATTGAACTATTTCTTCTATCCTATAAAAAAAATTTTAAATATTTTTCTTTATATGTATAGTATTTGTTGAATATTTTTATTTATATAAATTTTTTTTAATTATCATTCATTTACCATATCAAATTATCGAACCAAATTTTATGTAAAAATCAAATAGAAACAACTAAATTTAATTAGATGAAGTAAAGTTTATTCTAAACTTCATATATTGCAACTCACTCTGTAGCTTACTCCCTAAAGATACATGTTAAAAGAGTGTGAATGTTTGAGGCAAAAGGAAAAGAAAAAAAGTTTAAAGTGTATTAATTACCTTTTTTATTAATTATTATAGAAAAAATAAAAATTAATTAAAAAAAGGGAATTGGGATGTGAAAATAGTTTTTTTTTTGGTATTAGAAAATAGTGTTTTTGGTTGTAATATAAAATGGTGTCTTTAAAAATACCATCAAATGGGTGAATTTTTTAAATCCTTTTGTTAAAATTCTCCTTCCATCTCTTCTAAATCATTCTTTATTTTTGGCTTAACAAAAAAAAGAATGATTTCCTATTCCTAGTCCTAAATGAACTGGGATAGGATGACGAGATAATGCCGAAATCATAAATACTAGGGACAATGGGAGGCCACCACTATTACCCTGAGAGGGGGTCTTGGCTGTGCTGTGCAATGATAACCTGGGATTCTAATGTCACCTCGACATGGTTGATCTCTGGTGCAGTCTGTGTTTTGAGACCACTCTAGAGTTTAGAGGTTCCACTGTTTCAACGTAGATCATCCAGACACCAAACTTAATCCTTTATCCAAAATTATCTGTAGGTTTTTTTGGGCCAACGAAACCATACCTCACTCTTGTAGATATATGGGTTAAAATGATAAAATCTAAAAAAATCTACAGTTGTATTGTATCTTGTAGATATGGGCTGAGCTGAAACGTAAAGCTGGCACTGGGCCAGGGTGAGTGGTTGTGGGTTGAGTCGCCTGATCCAAACAAAATCAAAACATACGCGCACAATCTCGTAACAGACAATATTTACTTTTCAGTTTTTATTTATTTATTTATGTTTTAAAAACATAGACTAAAAGTTTTAAAATAATAAATATTAGTATTTAATTTACTATTCTTTTAATTAAACTTATCCAAATAGCAATAACTCTGAAATTAATATTAATTTTTATATTTTTATATATATATTGATGATAAAAAGATACTCTTAACTTATACCTTAAAGACATAAGTTAAAATAATTTTTTTTTTTTGCCCTTCTATTACTCAGCTAACATTCACTAGGATATTTTTACCCTTTTTTTTTTTAAAGCAATTTCTCTTTCTCTATACATCTTAAAGGAAAAGTTGTAAATTGCCTACTAATATTAAAGTAAATTGCGACTTAAAATTTTTATTTTTAAAAAAATTCATCCATAATTTAATAGTTAAGGATAACTTTCTGTTAATCTCTAAAAGTAATAATTTAATAAAAAATTAACATCAACTATTAAATTTAAATTGATTTCTCTAAAATGAAATTTAGAGATGGTGATTTGTTTCAATTTTTTTATTAAGTACTAATTTATTTCAACTCAAAAATATTAAGGACATTTTATACATTTGACCGTTTTTTAATCTTAGCTCAACAATGTTTATTTATTTATTTACATTTTTTTTCTCATTTTATTAACTAAAATGATAATTATATCTAAATTCCCTAATCCTACAGTGAAGATTTAACTATTAGGTTAATAAAAAATTAGAGGGAGGGAGGGGGAGGGAGGGAAGGGATTTCTTTTATTTTCCTTTAATTTTTTTTTTATATTTTAGTTTAATTAAGGTTTAAGTACCATTTTGGTCCCTCAACTTTTCATTTTGGTACTAAAATTGTTCTTTACTTTTAAAAAATATCAAAATTATCCTTAAACTTTCATTTTCGGTACCAAAACCGTCCTTCCGTCAGTTAAATGGATAGGTGGCACGTTAACTTGCTAGCAAATCAATTTTTTTTCTTAACTAATGACATGGCACCTTTCTTTTTATGAGTTAGCATTTTATTTTATTTAATTTAAAAATAATGAATTTTTTTTTCATCCATGTCATCTCTTCTTCCTATTTCACTTTCTCTCTCTTGTCACTTCTTCTTCCTCTCCAAAGCAAACCCAGATATGGGTTTTTCTTAAACTCAGATGACTTCTTCAATACCACTAAAACGCAACCAAAGAGAAACTAAATCACAGTCTAACAACAAAACCTCCATGTCATATCTTCTTCCTCTTTCACTTTGTCTCTCTCTTGTCCCTTCCTCTTCTTCTCCAAATCAAACCTAGATCTGGGTTTTTCTCAAACCCAAATGACTCCTCTGACACCATTGAAACGCAACAAAGAGAAACTAAATCACAGTCTAAAAAAAAACCTCAAATACGTATTCAAATTTCATCAAACCAAGTCAACTCACATGGATGCAAATAAATAAAAAAGAAACAGTACTGAACCATCAGAAACTCAATATGTAGCAAACCAAAACCTAAATGCCAGCGAAATCAACACAGAAACCAGCAAGAACTAGTTTAAAGAGAACCAAAAATTCTAGTTTCAGTCCCATCAAGACAAAGAAAAATAACAAAATCAGGACCAAGAATCAACCACAAGAGTTTGAAAAAATAGAACAAAAACCACGAGTTCGAAAAAACCAAACAAAAACCACAAGAGTTCAAAAAAACAGAACAAAAATGAAGCTCTCATCAGTGGCTAGCTTGTTGTCTGAGTCTATAGTGAGCTAGATCTCGACGCATGTTACTGTCGGATCCAGAGCAGACAGAGCCAGATCTCAACGCGACGGAGCCTACAGTGAGCCTACGACGGTGCATACTAGTCGTCGTTGTTGTAGAGCCGTGCGGGGGCCATGACGCCAGGCTTCAAGCTCTTCTTCACAACAGTGTCTGTTGATTCAAAGGAGAAATGGCGAGTGAGGAGAGAAGCGGAGGTGGATGGAGAAATGTAGTCTCAAGCCCTGATCTAGGTTTGTCTCAAACCCAGATCGGGGCTTGAGACAAACCCAGATCTGTGTTTGTTTTGATGAAGAAGCAGCAACAGTAGCAGCAACAGTAGCAGCAACAGTAGCAGCAACAGTAGCAGCTAAAACTAATGAGTAGAAGAAAGCATGGAGGCTCACGAAAAAACCAAAGCAATCTCCACTTAATGAGTTTCCATCAATTGGCAAATCTGTGTTTGTTTGTTTTGGAGAGGAAGAAAAATCGATAAGAGAGAGAAAAGAATAAGAAAGAAAATGAAGTTTTTATTTTTTTGTTTTTACTTTTGAAAAATTATGAAATAATAAAAAAATATTAAATTTTCTTACTTGGAATTACACATAGTTAAAATTAAAAAGTTTAAGTGATTTTGTGGCAAGATAACGTGCCACCTATCACTTAACTGACAGAAGGACTATTTTGGTATCGAAAATGAAAGTTTAAGGATAATTTTGGTATTTTTTAAAGGTGAGGGACAATTTTGACACCAAAGTGAAAAGTTGAGGGACCAAAATGGTACTTAAACCTTTAATTAACTGAAAAGTGCTTTGGAATTTGTATTTTAGGAAAGGATTTTTTAAATTTATGTGTAATTAATATATTTTTTGAAATTAAAAATAATAAAAATTAATATTAATTTCATTATTAATTATCATGTGAATCATTTTATTAGACTATTAATTAAATAAAGATTAATTTTTATTTTTTAATATTAATTAATGTAAACAAATATCCTTAATTTATACAAGTTAAAAAAAAATTAATAAATTATTAGCTTATTTCTTAATATCAAAGTTTTCTTACATTTAATAACTTTTTTTTTACAATTTAATATAATTTAAATTATAATATAAATAAATATTTTTTTCACAATTTAATATAACTTAAATTACCAAATACGCCAGTTGTAACTCAAAATTAAATTTACACATTAAAACATAAATAATTGCTCTGGTCTTACCATAAATTATTATTATTTTTTTCGTCGCACGATCACGAAATCACGGTCTCTCTTTTCTCTTCGTCCTTTCTCTATCTTTCTGGAAAGTTGTTTGGTTTCTCCGTGAAACTCCAAGAAATGGCTTCGGCTTCTGCATCATCTTCTTCTCCGGCGAACGAAGAGACGCAGGCGCAGAAACAGGAAAACGATCGTCATCAGCAGCAGCAGGAACAAGTGATACAAGAGTGCTTGCACAGAACCAAGGCAATACAGTTCTTCGGTCGTACCACGCCTATCATACTCCAAAACGACAATGGTCCATGCCCTCTCCTCGCCATATGTAAGCAGTAATTCACCTCCTTCAATTTCTAGGGTTTTGCTTCCATGGTTTCTGAATTAGCGAAGATGCGAAAATTTAGGAAGTCATTGTCCCTCGAGAAATTTGTTGATGGTTAATCGGTTTCAAAGCTTATGCTCTTTGCAATCAAGAATCGGTTTCGTGAAACATTGATTGATTTTAGCTTTTATTTTTCATGTCAGAAGTCAGATTAATGGATTTCATGGTGTTTGCCGGTTTGAGTTCTGTATCTTTAGGGTTTTTCATTTCTCAATCTTTTTTCAATCGTTCGTGTTCGTAATTGTTCGTTCTTAGTGATGAGGAGATGATACTGCAGTGAAAGATGAATCTTGAAAGCTCTCAATTAAGTCTTATATTGCATGCTTTAAGCGAAGCTGTGGTAATCAAAGAAAATTAAATTTGTGGTTTTTATCTTCTTCTGATCCTAAAGAGCTTAAAATCTTTTCTATAACTTTGTTGATTTTCCACTGTGTCAAAGAAGTAATTCTGGTTATGTCATTATATTTTGTTATTCTTGTTATTATTATATTATTATTAGTATTATTTATGAGTGGTTGCATGGTTTGTTACTAATATTCTTATTGCATCTATTGTTGACGATAGAACTGATATTTGGAATAAATTGAGCCTTGTGTTGTGACCTGTACATTCATTTTCATAATACTAAATTATTGAATTTATCTGGTCAATGTTATCTTATGGATGGTGGTTGGTTTTATGATAAAGAAAGATTCAATTTCTATACTTTTTTCCTACTTTTTATTATCAAAAGATTCTTGTGACATCAGTGGATAGATAGAATGGCTTGGTAACAATCACATAGAGTTTCTCTATCTGTTGTTATATTTTGTTCAAATGCATTTTAATGATGAATTTTGGGGTTTTGACAGGTAATGTTCTTCTGTTAAGGAACAATTTGAATCTGAGCCCCGATATATCTGAAATTTCACAAGAGAAATTGCTTTCACTGGTGGCAGAGCGGCTGATTGATTCCAACAGTAATGTCAATGTAATCTCTCTCCATTTTGTTTATTCACCATTTGCTAGGGTACACTGGGAGTCTGGTACTCATTTCGTTGCACCTTTTGTCACACAGAACAAAGAGGCTGGATACCTAGAAAATCAGCAGCAGAATATTGCGGATGCAATGAATTTGCTTCCACAGCTCACAACCGGGATTGATGTAAATATAAAATTCAGGAGGTATGTATGTATCTATCTATCTCTATTCCTTGAATCATTTTTGAAATTATTTATTTTTTCAGTAGTAGTGATTGAAGTACATGTATAAATTGCAGGATAGGTGATTTTGAATTCACCCCCGAGTGTGCCATATTTGATTTGCTCGACATTCCCCTATATCATGGTTGGATAGTTGATCCTCAGGTACAATCCCCTCTCAGATCACATCATGTTCAAATGAAGACATACTGGAACTATTCGAAATTGTGTTCTATAATGCCTCTAATGCATTTTCTGCTAAGTTCATGTTTGTCAAACCTGCAATGGGATAATTTATTCCTTGCATATGAATTAGGAACCTTTTCCTAATTTAGGAAATTCAGCGTGTTCTGCCTGGATTTGTATGTTCCCCCTCTTTTGGTTTCCTTCACGTGATGTTGACAACGAAAAGCTCTCAAGTGTTAATATTTTTTCCTGGCAGATTATTTCATATATCATATTACGTCTTGATTTCATGATATGTGTATTATACAACTTGTACTGGAACCTGAATGATTAGTTTTTAATGTACTAATGTGCCAGGACCATGAAACTTCAATTGCCATTGGGTCAAAATCATACAATGCTCTCACAGCGGAGCTTGTTGCACTGGACACACAAGACGCAGAGGGTACAAGTAAAAACAGTTCTGAAGATTGTGTGGATTTTACTGCTGCAAAAGCTGCAACCCTGGGAGTTCCTTCCCCTAGCCCCTCAAAGACCAGATCTTTTGATAATTCTCCCTGTTCTGTCTCTGATCCCCCAAAACTTGGAAAAGGGGACCTTGAAGAAAAAGAAGCAGTATTAAGAGCATTGGAATTATCTAAAGCTGAATCGTCAACTCCACATTCTTTTGAAAGCTTTGTTCCTGTAGATAAAAGAGAGGGGCAAAATGGTGTTGGAAATCAGAAGTTGCCATACCCAGAGTTATCCTTGTCAGAGAATTGCAATGATAATGATAATCAGACAAGTTTCAAGAGCATTGCAAATGAAGAAAAGATTGATATGGGTGATCATGATGTTCATCAAGCAGTTTCTGCCAGTTGTGCTGACTCTATTCTTTTCAATGAAGTGGTTGAGAAGAGTATTATTCAGACCAGGGCTGTTGAGAATAGTAGTGCTACTGCAATTCTTCAGATAGAAGATGTAGTTTCTATTTCTCCTGCAAAGCATACTCCAGCCTTAGATGAAAATAGTACTGGTCCACACATTGGTGAAAAGATTGAGCTTCAATCTACTTCTACAGGCAGTGCTCATGATCTAGCAGATAATGTCAGTGGGTGTGATACAACAGAATTATCGTCCTTGCCTTTACCAAATGCAGATTTAGAGTCATCTAGTGGTGGAATACAACCTGGAGATCTATCTGAAACTTTTACTTCTAGTCTTGATGGCAGTGAGCCCATATATGAAGGAGAAGAGTGCATATTGGATTCAGGAACTAAAGTATATGAAGAACAGGAACCTGTGTATGAAGGTGAGGTGATTCTTGCTGAACAGGCCGACAAAAGAACTCTAGATACGTGTGATGCGAGGTCAATCACTCCCCAAGAAGGTCAGTGATGCTTCTTCTACAAAATGTAATTCTATATTATTGTTCATTGTGTAATCTTTTTGCCTTTTAAAGCTTAATATTGTCTTATGTTTATTATTCAATATATCTTTGTCATTCTTTTTAAAACATTTCAGGGGAACTGCTAAGGAACTTCTTGAAGATCAATGCCAGTCAGTTGACAATTTATGGGTGTGTTAACTTGCTATTGTGCTTTTAATTTCTTTTACATTCCTTGTATCTTTGTTCTTTTAGCATACGGGGACTGTCTAAGTACTGATTGTTCATATTTTTTCAGGCTACATTGCTTACGAAATGGCCTTAAAGAACATGAGCTTTGTGTCTTTTTCCGTAATAATCATTTCAGCACCATGTTTAAGGTCAGTGAATCATTGCACTTTCTTCCTATTAAATGCTGAATATTGTTCTACCTATTGAATAGTGTGAAGTGAACATGATGATGGTGATTTCTCTACTGGTTTCATTTCTTCTCTCATATTTATTTTAAATTGTTATATTGAATCTTACTTCATTTCAGTATGAAGGTTTCATTTGTTCTCTGAACTTTATGATAAATTGTTGTACTGAATCTTACTTCATTTGCAGTTTGAAAATGAACTTTATCTTTTGGCTACTGATCAAGGTTATCTAAATCAGCCAGCTTTGGTTTGGGAGAAACTAAATGAGGTAAATTTCTTGCTTCATAATTTTTCTCTTTTTTTGTACAAGGATCATTCATTGAGGCAGATTATTTCCCTTAAAAGATCAATATATTTTGCTTTTAGGAAATTTTCTCCACATTTTCTCTAAAATCACCACCCCCTTTAATTTTTTTTTTTTTTCTGATATGGAGTGAAATCAAGAATATGAAATGATTTGAATCATAGTATAATGTTGCTGGAAAGAATTCCAAACTTTTAAATTTGAATGTAAGGCCTTATAAATAAGTGGAGCTTTTTCTCATATGGGTGATTTTTTTCCTTTTTCTTTTTTCTTTCTTTTTCTTCTCTATTCTTCTCTCTCTCTCTTTTTCTTCTTCTTCTTCTTTTAATGCCCCAATTCTAATTCCCCATTTTTCAGGTCAATGGGAACTCCTTATATATGACTAGTAATTTCAAGGAATTCAAGGTGGATAGTGATGCAAGCGACAAATGGGATGAGGATAATGCCATGACCAGCACTGCTGTATGTGGCCTTTTATCTGAAATTTATACAAGTTGGTTTTAAGTGTCTTCTATGAAGCTTACTTTGGATTTGCATGCCTCAGGATTTTATTGCCAGCATTGATAGTGCAGCACAGGCAGGAATGGATATAAAGTACTTATCCTGACTTTTTTGCCTCTTGACTTAAATGGATGGATTTTATTCTGATTTGTTATTGTTTTTGATAAAAGTCATAGTTTATTACACCCTTTGCACTGCTTGGACTTATCTCTTATCTGAACTTCAGGTGAACAGAGGTTTCACAAGCCTCTTCATTTGAATGGTTCTTCATTTGAATGGTTGGATCTCATTCTATGATAATTTGGTTAGCTGGAGGTTTCTGACTTTATTGCAATATCTCTATGCCACTTGAAATCTATTGAATTAAGGCATTAGTTTTGAAATGATAGATTTGTTTTAGCAACAATTTTATAATTTTGACAACAGTGAAACATTTTTATTAGATTAGGGATCCACTTACACACCAAGTCTTACATACCAAACTTACACAAAATCTCAACCATTCGTTCATCTCTTCACTTTCAATGGTTGAGATTTATTCACATTTATTAAAGATAATTATTTTTTTCATCTAAAAAGTCGTGATAAATTTCAACCATTAAAAGTGGAGAGATGAATGGTTGAGATTTTGTGAAAGTGTGGTGTGTAAGATTTGTGTTAAATGGATCCCTACTTGTTTTGTTATTATCAATTTATTTGGAAATACTGGTCCCAGAGAGAGTGTCTTACTGTCTTTTTTATTCTTTGAATAATTGTATTTTATTTTTTTTTATGGCTGTTTATGAAGTAATTGTCTTGCTTATCAATGAGGTTCCACTAATTCTGCACGTATAATTTCGGCAGCTCTGATTTGCAACTGGCAATAGCTTTGCAGCAACAGGAGTATGAACAGCAGCCACCGCGACAGAATGTGCAGCAACCATCTACAACTGGGGGTTCAAGATTGGTCACAAGTCCCCCGGTAAATTCCCATCTTTTCATACACCTCATATTTTTGTGGTAAAATATTATTATCTTTAGTGTTTGATAGCTTAAACCTCCACATGACAAAATGATAAGCATGGTAGTTATTCAGGTCAATGCCAGTTTGCTACACTGAGGATGGAATAGACAATTCAAGTAGCATAGCTTCTGAAAACTGTTAGTGCAACATTATAATGGTTTGTGATTGATCCAGTGCATTTTACTGTTTACCTTGTTAGTTGCAAGATAGAAATAATTGATGCAACTTTCAGACCTCAGGGACAATTTCATCTAGGAATGGCCGTTTTTGAGAAACTATCCATTATTTCTTTCATTGTTGTCCGCTCAAGAGGACATCATGACTTAATTTCAGATTGACTTAACATAATTTCCAAGTTGACAGTTCACAATTACAAGACAAATGGCATTGTGCAGGTGGCAAGAAGTAGCGTAAGGCAGTCGTCGACTCCAAAGGCTGATTCAAAATCAAAAGATAAGTGCATTGTGCTGTGAGCTCTACGTTCAGCATCTGGAAAATTTGTGGCGTAAATTGTTTGCATGTTTTGATCCATTGTATTGCTTGACACTAATAAAACTCGATTAAACCAATTAGATATTTTTTTTTCCTTTTTCTTTTATTTTTTGTACATCAACAGTTAATGTCATATTAGATCACGTTTCTTACCGTAAAAAAGAAAGTACATGGTGCCTTAGTGCCCCACTAAGTAGACTCTCCAAGCTTATATCCAAGTAGGCATCAGTAGCAGATGAGTTAAATCCCTTTAATCTCAACTTCTTCACCAACCAAGTGTTTGCTTTGTTGTACCTTCGGTTCTATGTATTGAAGTCTAGCGTCCATATTCAATTGCCCTAGTAGGCAATGTGAAGCTTCACGTGGCTCTTCTATGGTCCTAATCGTCTGGGGACCACAGCTCCTGAAAAGTCATTGGAACTATTGTTGTCAAGGAAGCATTTGATGTTGATATGGCTGAGCAACTTGACAAGGGCCTCATCTAAAGTATGGGTGTCCATTGTCCAATAAATTCATGGGGTCAGCACCTAGTGAAGTGAGATCGAGCCTCAGGCCTCACTTGTCATTGTGTAGGAAGATAATAACACGCTAGAGATGTGAAGAAACCTGCAGGTATAAGCATCAAGTATTGAGCTCTACGTAGTTTTTTAGTATCCATTGTGGTTGTTGACGGGATCATGTGGTATCAGAAAACCTTGTAGATATCTGTCCAAATCCAGCCAAACTAGGGCGTGCTCCCCTCTGCGCTCTGCATTCTGCGGCCTAACCATATGGGACCCTGTAGATGTTCCATGTGTGTCTGAATCAGTGGTTCAAGTTTTCAACACGTGAGACCGTAAGACTTTCTGGACCCTCTTTAATTGGAGCCGTCACCGAAACAAGCTAGGAAAATTCCTTAACCTGAAGCAGCCTTTAAATGCACCAAGAAGAGTTCGATGGAGGTAGTATATATTAATTTAAAATTTTTGATTTAGAATTAAGTTGAAATATTTAAATCTATGTAATCTTAAATAATTAATATTCTGACATTAGAAAAAGGCAGCCTTTAAATGCTTTTACTTTATTTGACCATTTTACCCTTAATTAGTGTCCCCTCTCTTTCTCTTGCATTCATCTTAGAGTTGTTCATGTTTAGGATTTGTCATATTCAATCCAAACAGATTGATCTAATCAAAATTGATTTAATTTAATTAAAATTCAATTTAAACGAGCATCATTTTTGGTTGGTTTGGATTAGAAAATTTTAAAATCAATATAATTAATTTAATTTAAAGTTTTATTTTCAAATTGATTGAATTAGTCAATTATTGAACAACTTAGTTAAATAATATAATTCATACCAATTCATGAACACCCATAATTCATCCTCTTTTTTCTACCATTCTTCTTATTTCTCATCTTCTCGTCTTCCTTCCCCTCTCCTTTCCAAATGGATTCTCAATCGAGAAACAGGAAGAACAACAAAACGCAAGCCAATTCACA